CTAATACTATGCAAAATGACTTGATGACCGCTGTTTAGAGCACAGACCAATACGGAGGGAGCATCTGTAGTATGTTACCATGTAATGTCCCACTGGTCTGAAACCGTCGTGTAGGTTTCAAACTTACTTCCTAACTTAATTCAGTAAAGTACTAGTCACAGTTACCTGTTGTACCAGGAATTGTTGTTGCGTCTCCAACATGGTCGTCTCCGTCCGGGCTTGAAGAAGATGATTCTGTTCATTCGCCTCGTCAAGGGCCTTCTGCGTACGCTCGAGACTGATTTTCAGTTCATTGAGAAGGGCATCTCTTTCAGACCCGGTAGCTGTGCTCATCCTAGAAAGTTTTTCCGCCTGAGCAATCTGCTGGTTAAGCTGTTGTATCTGTATGAAAAAATAAGAAAAAGTAAATTTTAAAAGTTGACAAAACAATCCCGAGGGACATGAAATATAGATCGTTCTCAAGTAAGCAGGGTTACTAGTTGGATATTATCTTAAGAAGTGAACACGTCAAATGCTAGTTGAACATATGTGAGTGACAGTTTGACGTCGTCCACCACGTGCTTCACGAAACGGAAGCAGCACCGGGGGACAAGCTTGGAAACTAGCTAATAGTGAGACAAATTCTCCAAGCAAATTTCTCCCCTCATCCACTTTACTCTAATGATAAGACATGTCGGGACGACCACGACGCCGTGATTGACCATGTCGGAGATGTCCGAGCAAATTAGCAGTAAACGGGCAGATCACATTTCGAGCGACGAACTCAGTTATGGTACGCAGCTGACAACAAGGCTGACAAAAAAATAAGAACAGGAAGTGCAACCGCGCTACTCTGATGCAAAAACGATGATTCCGGAATGACATTACATGAGCTGGTTCCCGTCGTTTTCTTATTCTCTGCCCGGAGATGCTGAGGGCGGCGTATATAGCAGTGAGCGCGTTCGACTGCAACCACCATAACCAATCGCAATCGGCAATATAACAAACGCTTTGCTCAACCCAACAGGACGCAGGTTCGAGCCCTAATAATTGAAACCATGAGTTTGGATATGGTTGGCTCATCATGGTTAATAAGCTAAAAATGGCTATTAGTGTCTTTCTGGTTGGGCCAAGCAACCCACTACTTGCATATGTAAATGGATATTGTCATACTTCCCGTCCAAATTGTCGCAAGGCGACGCATAAATATGTTAGCACAAATCAATTATCACTTCAGAGTGTACAGCAAACTTAACTATATTCGTTCTAATCATCACAGTATACGCACGAACACTGCGAAGCCTGTCTATAATTCCTACCACGAGTTAAACTGTGCATCTTCTCCAAACATCGAATTCAAGAATCAGAGACTGAGCGAAGTGACCAAGCTTGATTTCTAAAATACGGTATTGCTATTGTATCGATGCAACCAGCCGGTATGAACCTATCTTGATGGTCGAAACCTTCACTGTCACCAATTCAACTCTTAGAATTCTTAGTCGTTTTCGTATAGTTTGTGTTTCATATCTCGTTGCCATGGTTTCGCCTTGACATATTAACATCTTGGAGGCTTACCTTAGCAGAAAATTATAATCGGAAATAGGTGAACACGTGAAACACGTTCGCCGGTTTCATTTGCCTAAATCGGACATTAATCACAGAACCATAGAACATAATTCAGCAAGTGCTGTTATCAAGACATTTGACAGGAGTCATACGTTTTGAGGTGGAAAACTCACTTGGCTATTTCGGCGTTCGACGTCGCGCTTCAGCTGACTAACAGTGAGAGTTAATTGGTCAATTTGTGCGTTTGTCTGGACGGTTGATTCCATCTAAAACAGAAAGAAAGTTGGTATTAATACCATCAAACCAATTCGCTAATATAAGCATTGCACAATTGCGCAGGGTTCAATGGTGATTCTAAGGCCTAAAAGCAATGCGAAATTAGTACCTGCATCATGTGGTCTGGAAATGTCGACAAGACAATTTAAAAAAGGAAATTTGAACGAGCTGTCAATCTCAACGTTTTAGCTACCCGTTTATTTGCAACATTATGTAAATATAGTCTAACGTAATATGGGCAGATAGTTTCGTTACGTCTGGATCATTCCAGTAAAAAGTGACACGTCTGGCAAATTTGTTTCTATCAGCAGCAGATGGGTCTCTTCGGTTTTACAGATGCGCATATAGGGCATGCATTTTGCTATAGACTCTGAAATTCGCAGACCTTTATTGTTTGCCGAAAGTGGGAATTATTGCAACCTTAGCTAAGTTAAATTACTTCTCAACAGATACCAGTGAGCAAACACATGCCTCGCAATTCCTAAATCTAATGATGAAGGTAAATACGACGTTAAGGCGGGTTAAGTTTGTGTTCTAGCATTTCGAGGGTGCCCTTTGAAACAAATACACCGTCTATTTTTAGCGAATAGGGACAAAATCGCATGGCTTCGGACCACTTTTTCGAAGAGTCATTCGGTTTCGCTTACCCTTCTTTACATAATTAGCCCACTGTAGACGTATACTCCACGATGTTGAAAAGGATCGTTGTCCCTCCTCCCGTAGGTACACTGTCCCGTAAGTACACTGACAATGGTCAAATTTTCTGACTAATGGTTATCAACGGGGGAATTACGACATCTGGTGGGACTCAAACCAATGACAGCGTGAGAAAGGCCGCCAAGTTGTTCGCAATTCATTTGCGTGAAGCTTAGTCCTTTTAGGAAAAATACGAAATTGTCGAACGAATACAAACTGATGGGTAAATGACAGAGGAATTTGACTAAAATAATTATTTAAATTTCCTAATACTATTTATGCTACACCGACCTACGTATAGCGCTTTTCTCCCAAGTCCAGACAACCCATCAGCCCTAAAGCTATCCCAGTTAGTTTATAGGCGCGGCTACTACAGTTTTTGACTGACGGGGTAAATCATTTCTTCTCAAAAATGAATGTCTTTAATGTGGCCAGTAAACAGTCAGTTATGAGGTATTCAAAACGCTTAAGGTTAGGCTTTAGATTGCGCATGGCACCTGTAAACAGGCTTTTTAGCTTTATAAGTCTAGCGCGCACGCCATGCCTGGTATATTTTTGAATTTTTAGGGCCGCCCAGCGTGCTTTGAATGTAAGGATTGAGCGTGTTAGAGGAAGCCAAAGTTTGGTTTATGCCGAAAAAAAATCACTTGAATGTCATAAGGAGCAGTTTTGGAAAGTAGTACTCGCAGCGGTTCAATTATCGGCAAATTCTAACATGCACCAGGTGAAATACCATGAAGTTGCACATTTTGTACGCAAAGGGCGACGTCAGATCAGACCGAAATTCGGTGAAATATAACGACTGCTGTGGGGAAGTGGGCAATTTGTTTTGTTTTGGATCTCAGACATACCAGTGATCGCTTGACAAACAAGGATGCTAGGAAAGGATTGCAATTTAGAAAGAGGACAGTAACTGAAATTTCAATTTTAGCTCACCTGCCGTTATCAGTCAGTTAAATCTAACCCCAGACTAGGAAGATCTACAATTTCAACTAAGGTTAGTTGGTTATTTAGGCATCTTATGCCAAGTACACTTCTATTTGAAACAATGACCCTACTTCTATAAAGAACATTATTGTTTTCACCATTCCACAAGGACGACGAAGAAGAAGGAAAGATTTCATGGACCGAAGGGTATTTACACTGATATTTCGGAAACACTCGGTACCCTCATCAGAGTAATGTGGTATTTCTTGCCTCTGGCTGTGATTGTTCAAGCCTTTACGCCTGCCTGGTATTATATCTGTGCGTGACACACGCATTTTGGCCGGCCTGTTCGCTGTTGACATCTTTGAGATTAATCGCTGGTGGACCCGCTTGACATTTGCCCCTCTGCGGCCGTCGCAACTTTTGAAAAGTCAGCCTGCTTACTGCCCTGCCCCCGTCGGCCAAAGGAATAACCAGTTGGTTAATATTGCCGGCAAGGACAAGGAAGACTGGAGTGGCCATTTCTGAATTAGTAGCCGTCGTCAGCAAGTGATGTCTTACCCGACCCTCAAACTCGAAAATTTTTGAGCAGAGTCAAACGCCTTAACCATTCGGCCACGAGCTCGTTGTCTTGCCAGTTTTGGTCGGGAGATATTGAAACTCGTTGATAAACGTTCACCCGACCGCTAACGGAACTCCTATGTCCTGTTTTGCCTTGGGCATCCACAATGGTCCTGACAGTCGTAGCAGCTGGTAGTATAGGCAGCTACTATTGCCCGCGTGAGTTAATTTCACTCCCATGCGTCGAGCACGGATATAACACAAGGCAAACGTTAAGGCTGAAACAGACACGGCCAGCAGGAAGAACCAGGAGTGTTTCAGAAACCTTAATCTAACTATACTTCCTTCCATTAACTCGTCCCTCCTTCTTCTTCTTCTTCTTCTTCTTTGCGAAATAACGAAAACGGTAAGATATCTGGACCACGAATCTTTGTACATAGAGAACCTTGCCGATAGAAGCGAATATGTGAGTTCCAGGCAGCAGTTCAGAAGGAGAAGATGCAATCAATGGAAGAATAATTTTATTTTCCTGACGTTTAAAATTCTGTCGAGAATCCTTATTCCTTAATCGACATGCGTGCGCATGTCTCCCACTATCCTACGGTTACCTATGAGTAAGGGTTCTCGACAGAATTTGAAACGTCAGGAACATAAAATTATTGTTCCAGTGATCGGATCTTCGTCGTCTTCTTCTATAGAGAACACTATTATACCGTGGAGCCTCGGGTGACGAGCAGTTCCATCTATGAACATTTCAGGCAAAGAGCCAGCTACTATCAGAAAATTGGTTTCGACTGATGAGCTTCCACTCAGCTAACGAGTTGTTAGTGCATGTGCGTGCCTGTATCCGGCGTTGCCTCTGCTCCCAGGGCGTGGGTCCTCGGTCGATTGCAGTCAATCAGCGATTTGATGCATTCTAATTGGCTATATTTCGCAAGACTAGTGTTTCACATGACGTGTTCGGTGTCGGAATGGATTAACTGTGTTAACCGAGGTTCCATTGTATTTCAGGAAGTGTATAAGTGACGCTCACCGATCTATACTGTATATAGGACGAGATACGGAAATGACATATCGTCGCTTAGGGTTCAACGTGTAGTCCGCGCGTACAGTCCTTTTCCAATTATTAACTAAATGCGCATGTTTGGGAAATATAGTCGTGTCGCTCATGCTAATTAACTATACGTTGCCAATACGAGCGAATAAAAGTGTTGTCCCAGCGATCGAAATTTTTTTTTTCTTAACTGTGCCTTATAGTACAACGCAAGGAGCATTTTAATGTCCGGTAATAAGACCAGTTTTCCTCACTGTCAGGTAGTCGATCAACCAAAACTGCCTCGGGTGTGTAACAAAAAACGGGTTTCATCTGACTTTTATTTCCTGGGGTAAGTTAAAATGACGTGCAGCTATGTAACAGAGGAGAATTTATTTTTAAAAATGCCAGCCTGTGGGCACTTTCAATTTCGATACTTTAGCCTCAGTAAAAATAAACATTTTCACGTCCGTAGTCCACCGGAGTGCAAACAAAATTCGTTAGAATGCAGTGGTTGGTTCAAAGAAGCTCACCACTATAGATTCTGCTAAAAGTTCAATGGTTTTCGTTGAAACTTAGAAAAAATTGAAGTGCAAGATTAGAGAGATAACTTGCAAAATGTTCTTGCAAACGTCTGAGAGGAGACACCTAGACAGTCGTCAAATATTACAGCCCATTTCGAAAAATGGACAGGTATGCACGTGAAACGGATAGTAGAGCTCAAATAACCACAGAGGAAGACAGAGAATAGTGGAATGGCTCGCTGCATGCTGACTGCACGTGGGTGATTCCAGTCCGGTCTTCTTGATTGCGCAATGCGCTGTAACTGACCTGTGGACTGCCAGTTATGGAGATTGGGATATTCCGGATCGCAGTCGGCAAAAGGCGGATCCGTGACCTAACCGGCAAGAAGCTTAGCTCCAGCGCGCAACAAGTCTCTAGTCTTTCTGTCCGAC